AAAACTCGCTGTGTATAACGAATACTCTCTTCCAACAACCTAAAAGACGGCTTTATACATGGACCTCACCAAATGGTCAACACCGAAATCAGATTGACTACATCCTTTGCAGCCAAAGGTGGCGGACATCCATCCAGTCGGTGAAAACAAGACCTGGGGCTTACTGTAGCTCAGATCACGAACTTCTTATTGCCCAATTTAGAATAAAACTAAAGAGATCAGGGAAAATACACAGACCAGTTAGATATGATCTCACTAACATTCCTAGCGAATATACAGTGGAAGTGAGGAACAGATTTGAAGGACTAGATTTAGTAAACAGAGTCCCAGAAGAACTATGGACAGAAGTCCGCGACATTGTTCAGGAGGCGGCAACAAAGTACGTCCCAAAGAAAAAGAAAACCAAGAAGGCAAAATGGTTGTCTGCTGAGACACTGGAAGTAGCCCAAGAAAGGAGGAAAGCAAAAGGAAGCAGGGATAAGGGGAGATATGCCCAGTTAAATGCGCAATTCCAGAGGTTAGCCAGAAGAGATAAGGAACTATTTTTAAATAAGCAATGCATGGAAGTTGAAGAAGACAACAGAATAGGAAGGACAAGAGACCTCTTCCAGAAATTAGAAACATTGGAGGTAAATTTCAGGCAAAAATTGGTATGATAAGAAACAAAGATGGCAGGGACCTAACAGAAGCTGAAGAGATCAAGAGAAGGTGGCGAGACTATACAGAAGATCTGTATAGGAAGGATAACAATATCGAGGATAGCTTTGACGGTGTGGTGAATGAATTAGAACCAGACATCCTGAGGAGTGAGGTTGAATGGGCCTTAAGAAGCATTGCTAACAACAAGGCAGCAGGAGACGATGGGATCCCAGCTGAACTGTTTAAAATCTTGAAAGATGATGCTGTCAAGGTGATGCATGCCATATGCCAGCAAATATGGCAAACACAAGAATGGCCATCAGACGGGAAAAATTCAACTTATATCCCCATACCAAAAAAGGGAAATGCTAAAGACTGCTCAAACTTTCATACAGTGGCCCTTATTTCTCATGCTAGTAAGGGAATGCCAAGATCCCGCAAGGAAGACTCCAGCAATACATGGAGCGAGAGTTGCCAGATGTTCAAGCTGGGTTTAGAAAAGGCAGAGGAACGAGAGACCAGATTGCCAATATCCGCTGGATAATGGAGAAAGGCAGGGAGTTCCAGAAAAACATCTACTTCTGCTTCATTGACTATTCTAAAGCCTTTGACTGTGTGGATCATAATAAATTGTGGCAAGTTCTTGGTGGGATGGGCATACCAAGCCACCTTGTCTCTCTCCTGATGAATCTGTACAAGGACCAAGTAGCAACAGTAAGAACTGACCACGGAACAACAGACTGGTTCAAGATTGGGAAAGGCGTACGGCAAGGCTGCATACTCTCACCCAACCTTTTTAACTTGTATGCAGAACACATCATGCGATGTGCGGGGCTGGATGAATGCAAAGCTGGGGTGAAAATTGCTTGAAGAAACATTAACAACCTCAGATATGCAGATGACACCACTCTGATGGCCGAAAGCGAGGAGGAGCTGAGGAGCCTTCTAATCAAGGTGAAAGAAGAAAGCGCAAAAGCCGTGTTGCAGCTAAACGTCAAAAAAACCAAGATTATGGCAACAAGAATGATTGACAACTGGAAAATAGAGGGAGAAACCGTGGAGGCCGTGACAGACTTTGTATTTCTAGGTGCAAAGATTACTGCAGATGCAGACTGTAGCCAGGAAATCAGAAGACACTTACTTCTTGGGAGGAGAGCAATGTCCAGTCTCGATAAAATAGTAAAGAGTAGAGACATCAGACTGGCAACAATGATCCGCCTAGTCAAAGCCATGGTATTCCCTGTAGTAACCTACGGATGTGAGAGCTGGACCTTAGGGAAGGCTGAGCGAAGGAAGATCTATGCTTTTGAGCTGTGGTGTTGGAGGAAAGTTCTGAGAGTGCCTTGGACTGCGAGAAGATCCAACCAGTCCATCCTCCAGGAAATAAAGCCCGACTGCTCACTGGAGGGAAAGATACTAGAGACAAAGTTGAAGTACTTTGGCCACATCATGAGGAGAGGAAAGCCTAGAGAAGACAATTATGCTGGGGAAAGTGGAAGGCAAAAGGAAGAGGGGCCGACCAAGGGCAAGATGGATGGATGGCATCCTTGAAGTGACTGGACTGACCTTGAGGGAGCTGGGGGTGGTAACGGCCGACAGGGAGCTCTGGCGTAGGCTGGTCCATGAGATCACGAAGAGTCGGAGACGACTGAACGAATGAACAACAACAACAGGGGGTGCTGTGGTTTTTAACAGTTTTGATGGTTTTTAACTGATTTTTTTTAGTGCTACATATGTTTAATTCTATTTTAATGTTTGCAATTTTGTATATTTTATATTGAATGCTAATGCTTTTATGTCGAGCTGCTTTGAGTCCCCTTTTACGAGACAAAGCAGAGTTTAAATAAATATAATAATAAATACAACAACATCAGGTTGTATTGTGCATACATCATGTTTTTTGTGGTTTTGACAATGCACAACAGTTGTATTCAGTGGAGTTGTGTGTGGGGGACCACTGCAAATTAAAATACACTGGGTAGCATGTGAATGCACATTGCTTGTATATATTGCTTTTGTGCATTGCAATTGCAGAACAGGTTTTCAGGCATTGTATTAACCAGGATGACCATCAATCCAGGATAACTCCACACTGAAGCAATGCTTTTCTCTATAAAGGTGCCCCTTTCAACACATAAAACCCTTTCACAAGCTGTTTTTATAAATACCCGACTTACCAAAAAATAATAATAATAACATGTACAAAGAGTACCCCCTTTTTCCCAGCTCCAGCAGACCTCTGAGGAAGCTTGCCATAGATGCAGGCGAAACGTCAGGAGAAATGCCTCTAGAACATGGCCATATAGCCCGAAAAAACCCACAAGAACTGAGTGTACAAAGAGTTATAGCCAGTGCAATGTTATTATATGTTTTTGTGACTGGACTCTGGAAGATAAGGCTAAGATAATAAAGTTATGCTGAATGAGCTGAAAGTCAAAGTGAAGATAGCAATGAAACACTGGCCTTTGAGGAAAACAGCATAATTATATAAAATTGTTCCTTTTTTAACCATTCCCTTTTTCTAAGGTGTATTATAATCTTCTGAATTTAAATGATAAAGATTAACTACCACCCTAATCACATGTGTGGTGAAAGTCTTGATTTAATTAATATGAGATAACTTCATAGATATTTGCTTATGTAATTGAAAAGATAATTTAATAAACACTAATCAGATGCAGCAGTGTTCAAGAACTGCAACTATCAAGCATCCAATGGGTTTTTTTTTATGGTTGTTCAGGAAATATCAACTTTATTACCAGTTACAGTGTTGAAAGTGTGTATTTGGGTGTACAGATAAATGTGTATATCAAAAGTAATTTGAGAAGGACTTTATCTGGTGTTCAATGTTTTTCATGAAACACCATGGCTTGTCAATATGATGAAAGCAGTATAAGCAATTCACAGTTTAAGTTATTTTAGCTTGGATTTTCTTCCATGTGTGTATAAGTAGGAGTAGAAAATAAATGTATTTTGTGTGTAATTCCCTGTAGGAATATCCATTTCATAGTTCCTGAGATTGCCAATAGAATGAAGTTCATCTTGACTTGGAAATGTATACTTTTGAGGGCATATGTTTTGGACATTTTTACATTTTTTTCAGGCTTGTGACTTGGGAATGTGTCTCATTGCTGTGCTTGTGATGTGTCCTAAGCTAGGTCAATACAGGCCAAATAATGTGTACTCACTTCTCAACTTATGTGGAGAATCCACATAGTGCATGGCTGAATTTGCAAAAGAAGTGTTGCATTCAACCAATGCAATTTAAGAGGAAATATATACAGAAAGTTCCATAGTGAGCCTGGAGTTTCAAAGACATGGACAGCTGGATCTATCTGGATCCAGGTTAGACCACTGTCCTATGTCTAACAGTTCCAATGGCTCCTTGGCCTGATTGGCAACATGGATGTCCATAGGTGATGCTCCTGGGCTGCACTGGGTCAGCTCCCATATTAATCAGGTAAGTGTAGACATGACCCTAGAGAGAAAATGCATCCTCTACAAAAATATGCATATTCAAAAAAATATACACTAAGATGCTTTAGTTAATGGAATGCAAAATTGTGTACAAAAATGACTACATTGTGTGAACCTCCACAGCAGATCAAGATCATAGTTTCAGCTGTAGATCACAGCAGATCAAGATCATAGTTTTCAGTTTCAGTATCAATGGTTGTTTGTCATTTTTGGTGGTATTGTAGCTGTAGTCAAATGAAATAGAAGCTTCCATACTCTCCCTCATAGACATGCCAGTGAAAAAGGGGGAACATGGAAGCTCAAATTTTACTGGACCTCATGTCATGACCTTAAAGAAATGTTTAGTACAAAATATTAACTCAGCTAATGTCTGAGGTGTGATTTTCATCTTCAAGGTATAAACCACAGGGACTGACAGTCAGAAAAGCCAAATATCCATTTTACATGGGTTTGAAAATCACTAAAGGACACCCATAACTTTTAAGAATACACATTACCAGCATCCTGGACAAGGACCCATCTACTTCTGAATTGTTTCCTCTTCCAATTTACATTTTCATTTCTCAGATTAACCTTCTGATATACGGAGTACTTTTGTGTTGTAGTTTTTGAACAATGTTGATTACAGACTTTTGGCACAAATATAGTTTTGGAAAGTTGGGTTGATATGTGTGTGTGTGTGTTTTTAAGGTAGTTATTTATGGTAAATTAGAACCATTACTTTCATTTTAAAAGTAACTATTTCAATTAATTAAAACCTAAGCAGCTTTCAGATTTAAAATCACCACTGTTTGTATATTTCCTTTTTTCGTCCCTCTCTTTCACTTCATCTGCAACAGAAAACAATCAAATAATCCCCTTTCCTTCTCTTTCCCTTTCACCAGGCTTATCCTTGCACCAATGACAAGGAATGTGAAGTAGGGAAATATTGCCATAGTCCCCATCAAGCGATATCTGCCTGCATGATTTGTAGGAGAAAAAAGAAACGCTGCCACAGAGATGGAATGTGCTGCCCTGGAAACCGCTGCAATAATGGTATCCACATTACTTATATGCATTGTGTCAAATTTAAATGGCAGTTTCCATGGTCCTCAAAATAGTAACATTGTTGTTTCCTATAAATAAGAGTAATGCTTTAGAATGGATGGTCTTATAATGTAATTGTACACTGGAGATGACAAGAGAGAGTGAAGATTTGATCCACCAAAACATGAGCATTTGAGGGGTTTAATACCCCAAACATTTTATAGGTGAACACCAAGACATGTGTAGCCAGGTAGGAGGACATCAAAAAACACCCATCCAAAATAGGAGTTGATGGACAGGTGGATGCAAGAAGAGTTTAGCAGTATTATTGGTGTGATAAGAATGCCACTATTAACAAGTCCTTTAATCACTTTCAGGCTGTGTGATAAGTTTTCATAAGGAGGAGAATCCCAAACTTTTTCCTACCAATCATTCATAGGAATGAAAGTGTTTTTCCAATGTTTAATCATTGTCATTTGAACAGCAACTTCCCAAAGTTCATCTTTAAATCCATCTGGCTATACCAAAGGCAATTGTTCTGAAGTGTTGACAAGCAAGATGCTGAAGGGCTCTATGGGCCCTTCCAGACAGGGCTCAGATTCTAGGTCCCGTCGGATTTTTACTGGCGATGTCCAAATGATGCCTCAGGCAAAAGCAAAGTAATCCTTTGAAACCCGGGCCTTCTAATGGAGTATAAGGTCCTGTGGGAACTGACTCCCGGGTAGGCCTGGGATTACCGAGGGGTCAGTCCCCACACCCATTTCACTTCTTTGGGCTTCCAAAAAACATGAAAAAGCAAGGAGAGCAACTACCCCACCCCCAAAAAACCTTAAAAATAAAATAAAACTTACCATGTTGCCATTAGGCCTCCCTGCAGGCCTCCTGGAATGTACCAATGACGTGCTAGGAGGCAGGGTGTGGGGGTGGCAGGAGTAATTTGTTTTCAGGGTAGCATGGGGCAAGCCCAATAGGCAAGCCCCCTTTCTTCCCCGTGATGTGGAGACTTAAACCCTCTCCAAAGTGGGTTTAATTTATGTCTGGAAGTGCCCTATATCTAGCCTTTTCCAGGCCATGAGCTGTGGGTTGTCAACCAAAAGCTGGGACCCCTGCAGGGGACTGCCCCATTTTTAGAGTACAGCTGCTTGTTGGCAGGAGGGGGCTGGATCTGCTATCTTTCAGCCCCTCGATCACCAGTGTTGGAGAACTGCATTCCTTGGTAGGGCTGGCTGAAATTTAAGGTGGATTTCAAGAGCATTTATGATTGTGGCAATGGTTCTACTATCATAGATGCAAGCAGGAAACAATAACAAGGTTGAAAACCTAACTACAACATTGTAACAAAGAGYATATATTTGCTAATTTCTTTTTTTTTTTTGTAAAACTTCTCCCTTGTTTTCTGTATAAGAAAATGTCATTTTTGTGTMCATAGAATAGCTTCCAAACTTCAAGTAGCTTTCAAAAATGGCACAGTTAGTAGTAAAAGGGGGGGGGGGGGGAGAGAAAGTTTCCTATATTTCAAGTATCGACTGTGTCATGGTTGTAGGGYGGGGTTTCTGCTTGGCGGAGTATAAATACAARCCCAAGTAAGTTTTCAAATGTTAAAAAATGACATAAGATATGAACAATGTTATTCATAGTTACCAGTTATCGTGTCTGGTTGATACTGACACGATAAATAATTCATAGTTACCCATGAAAATGAATTTTATGACGTTTTACATGCTCACTTTTGAATAAATGTACATAGGATTATTCTGCTAAAAATATGAGCTGGGAAAATCTTGATTCATTTCAACCTTTGTCTTAGCTACAAGCAGTCAAGGTTATCATAGATAATTCTCATTCATTGCAGCTGCAAGTTAGGAAGAATAATATTGCCCCAGCGTGACTGAAATGTCAAATACTGTATCAAATAGTCTGTTAAGAATTCATATATTTTTTTAGTGAATGAAAAGGCCTTTTCCTATTAGTGAGATATGTGTGTGTGTGTGTGTCACATTTTGCAATATTGTGGTTCATTCTGATTCATTGTCTTCATCGATCTAGGTATTTGCATACCAGTGACTGAGAGTATTCTCACGCCCCATATCCCAGCCCTGGAGGTACCTCGTAACAAGAAAAATAATCACTATCCTACCAAGGACTTGGGCTGGCAGAATCTAGGGAAAGGACAAACCAAGCTAACACACTTGAAAGGTAGGAATGCATTACAGTCTGTTGTGGTATTCTTAAAACGGAATGCAATGAAATGCTTTGCAGCACTGCCATTGTAGAAGACAGCTAATACACCAGAGTGCCTCATGAATTACGCATTCACTTTGTGGTAGTTGAAATTGTTGTGTGCCTTCAAGCCATTACTGACAAATGGCAACCCTGTCATGGGATTTTCTGTGGCTGAGAGTATGCAACTCACCCAGGATCACCCAGTGGATTTCCATGAGCTGGGAACTGAAATTTGGCCTCAAGAATTTCAATCCAACACTCAAACTAAATCCCTAGCCCTATTCAGATGTTTTTTTCTATATGTTACTAAAAAGGGAACTGGAATATGTTCAGAGAAGAGCAACTAATATGATAACAGGTCTGGAAACTAATTCCTGTGAGAGATCGCTTGGGGGAGCTTGGTATTTTTAGCTTGAAGAAAAGAAGATTGAGAGGTGATATAATAGCCATAATTAAATACCTGAGTAGATGCCATGAAAAAACATGGAGTGGACTTGTTCTCCTGTTCCAGAGTTTACAGCAGAAGCCAGTTAATTCAAATCACAAGAAAATAAACAAGGAAGAACTAATTGACCAGCAGTGCTTTTTAACAGTGGAATATATTATCTCAGTGGGTGGTGGACTCTCCATTATAACATTTTAAACAGAGGCTAGATGAGCATTCTTTAGTTGCATATTCCTGTGTGATAGTAATTTGGATTAGATAACTCTTGTAATAACTATTTCCCCCTCTCATTGGTTTTGTAATTGAGTTTAATCTATCTTTATATTTTGCTGTTGTTGCTTCGAGTGCCATTTTGAAAAGAAAGTTGTGATACACAGGTAATAAATAAATCTATATTAACTAAATCCCTGTGGTTGTTTTTCCTAGGTCATGAAGGAGACCCGTGCTTAAGGTCTTCTGACTGCAGTGAGGGATTCTGCTGTGCCCGTCACTTCTGGACCAAAATTTGTAAGCCTGTGTTGCACCAGGGAGAAGTGTGCACTAAACAACGCAAGAAAGGGTCCCATGGTTTGGAGATTTTCCAGCGCTGTGACTGTGCCAAAGGACTATCTTGCAAAATCTGGAAAGATGCCACCTATTCTTCAAAAGCAAGACTTCATGTGTGCCAGAAGATCTGATGGTGATTTTGGAGAATACCAGGCCATGAAGATCCTGGCTCAATAAGAACTGGCTCCTGTAAATAAGAATTGGGTTGGCCAAATATCCACTGTGACAGAAAGAAGCATCATCCCAAACAACTGTCTTTTCTGCCCTGAAAACAATGACAGCTGATCTTCCTTGGTGACTTGGTATCATTCTGCCAGCTGTGCCAAATGTTTTTGGGAAAGCTTCTAATGATAATGAACAATTATGGCCTTGTGACTTCTCCACATTAGTTGTGGTCAGATTCTCCTATGACAGTTGTAAAAATAATGCTATAGAATTTATTTGCAATACAAAGCAGTGCTTTGCCAAAGGACTATACTATCTCTACACATTGTTGGATACGGAACAATAACGAAAAGAATTCCTATTAAACTGAAGCTGTTAGGGATAAAAAGTTAGTGTGCATATATCTACCCTGTTAATGTTACCCTTTAACAAGGGTAACAGGCTGTCAGTTGAAAGAGACATACTTTATTGATTAAGTGCTATATTTTGCAAGATGAAGTTGATGTGGGAAAATCTCAGATGCACAGCAATCCCACACATCCTGCAACCAAGAGAAGTGTTGACTTCAATCAAGGCACGGAGCAGAAATGACACTCTAGTTTCAAATACTAGTATTTGGAGTACAACACCTATATCATTTCCTCTTCATTTACCATGGTCAATGACTTCTGTTTCTGAGCACACAGGGGACTTAACAGATAAAGCAAAATATCCATGGATTTATCCAGAAAATAATGGTATGCTGAGCTGCTAGTTGTACATACTGAGAGTTTGTATTGTGGACACTTTTGCTTTGCTTCTAAAGAAAGCATATGGGATCCATTGACTGTATTATTGCTAAATAACAGTGTCTAAATAAATAAATAAACAGGGTGTTTAGTACTGCTCTTCTGTGGTTTGGATGCAGAGAAAATGAAATGAACAGAGAAGATATCAGGATTAATATGGAGTTGTGTTAGTACATGTCACCACAGGATGAACCATAATAACATGGAACTAGTGAATACATGACCTTATTTCAAATACATCTTAGGAATTTTTATGGTATCACATGATCTCATTGAATTTAGTGGTTTACTGTTACCACAACATATTAATAGACTGACAACAATGAATGATGCCTTTTGTTATCTAGCTCTTTCTCCTCCTAGCAGCATGACTGCATTTTTTCTTGCTATATTTAGTTATTTTCAAATGTGTTATTTGTTTTTTAAGAAACGGAAGGGTTTCATTACTGTCCAAGCAATATGGTTGAATGGAAGTAAGAATGGTTATCTTTCTTTGTTTAATGTTTGTGCCGCTCTGAGCATGGGTTCAGACTATGGCRCCCCCCCCCCCCGCCACAATGTGCCAACCACAATCCTAAATTGTAACCTCTTAGTGTAAATCTTGGTGAAAAAGCTGACCAGAAGTTGTRAAATCTTCATTCATCAATACTATTTTTAAACACAGCATATTTTGTCCCTAAATGGCCTCATGCTAGTAAATGAGGGCAAAAGCAGACTAGGTATCTTTTCTCTCTGACTTGTTTGGCAGATCAATTTACTTGGTTTATTTTAGTGCCATGAAAACCACAACAAAGGCACATGTACACTACACTGCAGCTTGGGAGGAGTTTCACTTGTTTGAGTGATTAGATTGACAGATCCAGAATTAATTTGAGGCCAGAAATGTGATTACATTGAACACAGAACCTGGCCTCATTCCACTGGGCCAATTTCTTCCCCATTTTCAGTTGAGATGCACACCAGTGTTTTAGGTGCATATGGCATGGAAAGAAAAAAGGGAAATGACAGCTAAAAGTGTATGTAATCAATTCACCAGGAGCCCCTAGTAGTGCAATGGGTTAAACCCTTGTGTCGGCAGAACTGCTGGCCAAAAGTTCAGCGGTTCGAATCTGAGGAGCGGGATGAACTCTCATCTGCCAGCTCCAGCTTCTCATGTGGAGACATGAGAAGCCTCCCATAGGATGGTAAAACACCCAAGCATCCCCTGGGCAATGTCCTTGCAGTTGGCCAATTCTCTCACTCCAGAAGTGACTTACAGTTTCTCAAGTCGCTCCTGACACACATACACACAAATCAATTAACCCTCCCTTGGGGCACTTTTTGTCATTCCCTATTCTACCTTCTATAATGTGCTTCAGGAGGGCCAAGTGTCTACAAAGCACTCTGCATTGACAGAGATGATTTGGCCCTGGATCTGGGATACACTGAAATCTGCTGTGGCACATTATTTGTCTTAACTCGGGCTTTTCTGCAACTTTTAAAACATGCTGTATGCCCCTAAACGCATACTGCAGCAAGCATTGATGCCATGTGCTTTGTGGCCATAATGGTTTCAAGTTGTCTCAAAGACACATTATAATGTCAATGTAGATGGGGCCTAAGACTGAAAAAGTGCACAATTTCAGTAAGGCGTTTTCTTTTCACGGATGCCCAACTGTATTTAAATCTGTTATGTGCACATCCCAAATCCTTTTGCCTCTATGAGACTACAGGAAGAAATCCCCCACCCATTCAGCATAAATAAAAGTTGCAAAATGAAGTTCCCCACCGATTTAAATGTTATCTGATAGCTTCTGCATGTCCTTTCTTTTGTCTTCCTGAAACAAGTATTTGAAGTAATTTATTTACAGGAAATGTTTAATAAGATGTATTTTCTTATAGAAGATATTTCATACAGAAAGCTTTGTAGCAAACTATACTTGCTAACTTGTTGACTTTGTAATTTAGAAAGAAATGTACAATAAGATTAAATATATTAAAGTGTCCATTTTTTCCACATTTCTCCTTGTATTCTATGTTTATTTCTTTATATGTAGAGTGTGAGGAGGAGGAGAGAGCTATACAGCAAGAGCAATTAATCTCCTCCATTTATTCATATCCCACTTTCTTTCCAGTAGGTAAAGGTAAAAGTTTCCCCCTGACATTAAGTCAGTCGCCTCCGCCTCTGGAGTTAGGTGCTCATCTCCATTTCTAAGCTGAAGAGCCAGCATTGTCCGTAGACACCTCCAAGGTCATGTGGCCAGCATGACTGCCGTTACCTTCCTGCTGGAGCGGTACCTATTGATCTACTCACATTTGCATGTTTTCGAACTGCTAGGTTGGCAGAAGCTGGGGCTGACAGCGGAAGCTTACATCACATCCCGGTTTCGAACCTGCGACCTTTCGGTCAACAAGTTTAGCAGCTCAGTGGTTTAACCCACTGCGCCACCGGGGGCTTCTTTCCAGTATATGACTCAAAATGGTTTAAAAGGTAAAGGTTTCCCTTTGACATTAAGTCTAGTCAAGTCCGACTCTGGGAGGTGGTGCTCATCTCAAATTCTAAGCCAAAGAGCTGGCGTTGTCCATAGATGCCTCCTAGGTCATGCAGCCGGCATGACTGTATGGAGCGCCATTACATTCCCGCTGAAGCTGTACCTATTAATCTACTCACATTTGCATATTTTCAAACTGCTAGGTTGGCAGAAGCTGGGACTAACAATGGGAGCTCACCCCCTCCTGCAGATTCGAACTGCCAACCTTCTGGACAGCAAGTTCTGCAGCTTAGCGGTTTAACCCGCTGCACCACTGCGGGTTAAAGATGGTTTAAAAAGGTTTGAATAAATATAGCTCCCCATAGAAAAGGTAAATTTGCAGCCACTTTAAAACATAACCATTAAAAACAACAAATATATGAGGTTTTCCTACTTAACTTGCTTTACCATGCTAGGTACTTTAATTTTATGACAGTTGTTTACATTGACTTTATTGTCTGCCTCCTTGAAATCCTTGAATATAGAGCAGGATAAATAAACACATAAAGAAAACTCTGATTAGGTCAGATAGCACAGCTTCAGTATCAAGACAGTCTTTTATCTCTTTCCCCTCCATAACAATAACAACAACAACAACAAAACTTTATTTATATACGGCTCTGTCTCCCCAAGGGGACTCAGAGCACTTTCCAAGTAACATCATCAATACATACAAAGTAAACAACATAAACATAAAATTAACAAGACAATATAAGTATAAAAAATCACAATAGCACATATTCATTTAAAATAATCCTGCCTGTTCAAGGCAATTCAAAAGGCCGGACCGAGGTTAGTGCAATGTGTAGAGGGCCCGGGAAATTAGATAGAGTCTACCTAATAGCCATATCTATTGTAACAATTTGTTTAATTGGGAAATTTCAGGATACCTGGATATTTCACAACCTTGTTTACAGTTTTACATATACTTTCTCATTGCTTTTTTGGTTTTGTCTTTGAAATGTATTTATGCTCACTTAAACCATTAAACTTGTAACCTCTATTGAAGAGGAAAAATATAGAGAGCTTGGGTTCCTGTAGTCATTACAACAGACTCCTAATCCTCTTGTGGTTAATATATTTTCTATCCAAATACTAAGTGCTTCGTGAATAATGACCACCCAACAGAGTACAAGAATCCTACGTGAAAAGTCATTTCCGTGTAGGAAATTGCACAAATCCCGCATGTAGATCAACACATGTGATGATTGTATGCACACATGTCCACAGTGTGTGTACACAGTGATTTACAAACATGTAAAACATGATGATCTTCTTGAGGGAATTTATACAACTTCCCAGGTGATTTTTGTGATACGTAAACTGGCCCAAAGCCACTACCTGTAAAGCTCTTAATTGCCTACTACAAACAAGTTCACACTCTCTATACACCTAAAATTGTAATTCAACTATATGTATATTTACTTTACATTCCTACCTTGGTCAATAAGTAAGAATACATAAGGTTGGAGGATATGCAAACAAGAATACATAAGATTGCAGAAACTGAAATTACTCCTAATGAAGGCCACAATTGTTTCCAATTCACAGAAGACATAAGTTGAAAAAACTATTTACTGCAGAAGTAATTTCTCAGCTTTGTTATTGTCCACTAGAATAACTTGGTAGTATATTGAACAAATCTAAATAAGAGTTGGTTGCATATCTGTCCCCTCCGCAAATCCTATTACAAGTATCCTTACTTATTTGGCAGGTTAGGGAACAGAATACTGGCAAAAAGTGGAAACACCCAAAATGCAGAATTTATATATTATAAGCATAAATATGGTGTTATCATATCATATCAGTATTCATAGAAATGTATGAATACTATACAGTATTATATGAACAAATATGGTATAAGAGAAGCACGATTGTGGGACTGCAAATTGGCAAGTTGGTACAATTGCATGACTGAAAAGAGGTGTAATATTGAAGATACTGAACCCAGTATTTACCTGCAATCAATTATAGCACGACTGTAGTAGAATAGCAGGTTCATGTTATAAAGTCTGAAAACTGATGCTGCTGGCTTCTTTGCAATATCTATATTCTCCCTGAAAAATTATACCTATATAGTATATTCATGTATAAGTCTAAAAATTTTAGTCAGAAAATCAACCCAAATAAACTTATTTTAGGATCAATGTGAGTAGTAAAGGTAAAGGTTTTCCCCTGACATTAAGTCCAGTTGTGTCTGACTCTGAGGGTTGGTGCTCATCTCCATTTTTAAGCCAAATAGCCAACATTGCCCGTAGACACCTCCAAGGTCATGTGACCAGCATGGAGCGCTGTTACCTTCCCAATGGAGCAGTACCTATTGATCTACTCACACATGCATGTTTTCAAACTGCTAGGTTGACAAGAGTTGGGGCTAACAGTGGGAGCTCGCACCACTTCCCGGATTTGAACCAGCAACCTTTCGGTCAGCAAGTTCAGCAGCTCAGAGGTTTAAACCCCACTGCATCACCAGGGACTCCAATGTGAGGACTGTACTTTAACTCTTAGGAAAAAATGAACTATCCCCCTTCTCTGAGTAGAATGACAAAAGGCAGGGATGCAGTCTATCCCATGAGAACCTACAAGCACAGTCCTCTCCGTTCTTTCCACCATGGCACTGCTGCAGTGCTTATGGCTTTTTTGAATGCCTGGGTGGGAAAATAGTGATGGCCAGGAGTGTCTGGATCCCTGACATGGCATTAGTGCTTTCTCTCTTCATGAAATGACCCTTTACTTATCCACAAGTCATATCAAAATACAAAATTTTGACTCCAAAATCTCCCTTCAATTTATACCCGAGGTTGACTTGTACATACGATAGATCCTCTAGTCCCAGCACCACTGAAACTCAACACTATGTCCAAGAGTACATCAATAGATTCCTGTTGAACTTAACCATGTGAAAATCAAAGCTGGGGGAGTTGTTAACTGCAAGAATTCTAGACTAAGCAGAAGTTTAGCATGATCTTCTGTGTCTCTTACACAAACTGGAAGGGTTCTTAAAATCACTTTTTCAAGATTTACTCTTACATCCACCAACAGTTGTCTTTCTGATTCAGTCTCTTTCTAGACCACGCTCGAAAGGAGCTGTCTTCATAGATCTGTCAGTGGCTTATGATACTACCGCCTCCTCCTGAGAAAAATAATATCACAAAGGATTACTACCTCACCCGCCTCATAGGAAACCTGCTACAAAACAGGAGCTTTTTTGTTGAGTTCCAGGGCCAGAGAAGTAGATGGCGGAAACAGAAGAATGGCCTGCCTCAGGGGAGCCTGTTCGCTCCATCAATGTTCAACATTTACACAAATGACCACCACTGCCAGAAGGGACAGAGAGTTTCATCTATGCTGATGATCATGCCATTACTGCTCAAGCAGGGAGCTTTGAGATGGTAGAACAGAGATGGTAGAAGCTCTAGGTGCCCTTACCGCCTACTACAGAGAAAACCAGCTGATCCCTAATCCATCTAAAACACAGACATGTGCCTTTCACCTTAAGAACAGACAAGCATCCCGAGCTCTGAGGATCACCTGGGAAGGAATCCCACTGGAGCATTGCAGTGCACCCAAATACCTGGGAGTCACTCTGGAACGTGCTCTGACCTACAAGAAGCACTGCCTGAATATCAAGCAAAAAGTGGGTGCTAGAAACAATATCATACAAAAGCTGACTGGCACAACCTGGGGATCACAACCAGACACAGTGAAGACATCTGCCCTTGTGCTATGCTACTCTGCTGCTGAGTATGCATGCCCAGTGTGGAACACCTCTCACCACGCTAAAACAGTAGATGTGACTCTTAATGAGACATGCCGCATTATCACAGGGTGCTGTGCCCTACACCACTGGAGAAATTACACTGCTTAACCGGTATTGCACCACCTGACGTCCGCTGGGAAGTAGCAGCCAATAGTGAAAGGACCAAGGCAGTGACATCTCTAGCTCATTCCTTGTTTGGGTATCAGCCAGCATGTCAACAACTTAAATCAAGAAATAGTTTTCTAAAATCTACAGAGACACTCGCTGGAACACCTCAGCAAGCGAAAGTCCAAAAGTGGCAGGTTCAAACCCAGAATCTCAATCAATGGCTGATACCAAATGAGAGACTCCCCGCTGGGCACACAGAAGATTGGGTGACTTGGAAGACGCTGAACAGACTGCGCTCTGACACCACGAGATGCAGAGCAAATCTTAAGAAATGGGGCTACAAAGTGGAATCCACGACATGCGAGTGTGGAGAAGAGCAAACCACTGACCACCTGCTGCAATGCAACCTGAGCCCTGCCACATGCACAATGGAGGACCTCCTTGTGGCAACACCAGAGGCACTCGAAGTGGCCAGATACTGGTTAAAGGACATCTAATCAACTACCAAGCTTGCAAACTTTGTGTTTTGTCTGTTTGTTTGTTTGTTTGTTTTGTTCTGTTAGAAATGTAATACAATTGCCTGGTTGCCCTGACATGATAAATAAAATAGTCTCTTTCTG